ACACCCTTCTTGTAACTTGTAGAAAGTCTGTTTCATACTGCTGAAGAGCAAGAAATACTTGCTAAACTTGTTACAGAAAAAGGAAACATTTTACAAACAATAGCAGGAGGTTCACAATCAGGTGCATATATGAATGAAGCTGATCCAAATGAAAAATATTGGCAACAAAAGTTTTTTGGTACGATAGAAAACTATAATAAATTAAAATCAATCAAAAACAGAGTAGATCCAAATGGAATATTTGTTTGCAATAAATGTGTAGGTAGTGATGATTGGTCGGATGATTTGAATTGCCGAATAGATTGAAGATTTTCTTGTTCATTTTTTAATACATATTCATAATAATAAAATAAAAAATTGTTAGAACTCATCGTTCATTTAATAACATGAATATCCTATTAATTTCACTATTTATTATCAATCAAATCTTTACATATAAACACACAACATAATAAAATTTATTTTTGACTATCTTTCATCGTATCAAGTATTGCCGCAACATTAGCTACAAAATCTGGAAATGTTTCATCACACAAATATTTTTCTAAACAATCCTTTGTTTGATAATCATCATAAGATATTTCTTGATTATAATATGTTGATAATTGTATTGAATTATCACCCATCAATACTTTTATCATATCATCAATCGATACAATTGAGTTTAATTTTTCAATTGGATTTGTCATTGATGATGATGATGATGTTAATGATATGGAATCAAAATGAGTAATAGTAATTGAATTTGAAAGTAATTTTACACAATCTTCACAATGTTGACGAGCAGTTTGTGTCGCAGTTGATGCAAATTTAACCAAAAATTTACGTTGAATATTATCACTTGGAATAACATAACTCATTAATAGACTATCACCAGTATATGTACCAATAATTGAAGATAGATCAGTAGTTAATAAATCTATACATTCGATTTTTTCTGTTTCATCACGAATAACATATAATTGTTGAGTTGTTGTTAAATTTAAACAAAGAAGTCCTTCAGAACAATCAATTATCTGACGTTGTGGTCTATAGATAAATATGAAAGTATTCATTATACGTCTCTATCTAACAAAACGATACAAACTGTTGTTGTTCATTTGAAGATGTAGAATTTGGAGTTGATAAAGGAGAATAATGATTGATTTCAACAGCATAACGTAATAATATCCAATTCTTAGTCAATGAAGATTGAACATTCATCTAAAATTATTTTTTCAATTCGTATCCTGATTAATCTACTTCAACATAGTTAGTATTTTTATGATTGTTGAGTTTCTAGTCTTATTTCTGATGATAAAAGTTCTATGCATTCTATATAAATACGATAATTCAAAACATAATACCATTGCGATTTGTTATTAATTAAGAATAAATTTAAAAAAAATACGAATAATGACAAATATATCTATATTATGATTATATTATTTATAAATAAAAAAGAAGAAATTCTCAATAATTGCATTATTTCGACTACATAATACACAATGGTGCATAATAAAAAACAAAGCGGTTTGCATTGTGCACTGTACATATTGAACTTGTCGTAGGGAAGAAAAAAAAAAGATAATTCTTAATCTGACTACTACTTAAAGATAAATATACATATATAATTTATAAAAAAAAAGAAACGAAAGCATTCTAATGAGGTCGGGATCGTAAATTATATTCTATTGATTGTTGGGTTTCAGTTTTGCCTGGTTTATATTGAATAAAATCTCTGATATGTTGTATAATAAGATCCACAGCAACGTGATTGTCAGCACCACGTGGTATAATGACATCAGCATATTTTTTTGTTGGCAAACAAAAATCTTCAAATGATGGTTTAACATGATTTATATAGCCAGCTAAAATATGTTCTAAATTTCTTCCATGTTCTTTCATATCACGTAGAACACGACGAGCTAAACGAGTATCAGCATCTGTATCGACAAATAGTTTCATTTGAAATAAATTCTAAAATAATCATCGATGAATTTCTTTTTTTTCATAAAAAAAATATCGTTACTCGAATTTCAGGAAAATAAAAAACAAGAATTCCTTCAACGATAATAACTGGTACAGGTTCAATCGTATCAAAAAC